ATTGGCACAGTCAATTTGAATAAGAATAAAAATAAGAAAATAAACCCTTTTACGTACATTTTTGTTTTTCCAGTTTCAGTGCTCTCAATTTCATTTAGTGGATCTACATTTCCACCTTTGCTCAACCTCCATTTTTCTGTAGAAACTCCTTTAACTCTTTTTTTTTTTGAGAGAGAGAGAGAACGCAAGCAGGGAGTGGAGGGAGGTGCAGAGGGAGAGGCAGAATCTTAAGCAGGTTCCATGTCCAGCACAGAGCCTGATGTGGAGCTCAGTCCCATGACCCCGAGATCATGACCTGAGCCAAAATCAAGAGTCCAAGGCTTAACTGAGCCATGTAGGCACACCATTTTAACTCTTCTTTTAATGCAGGTCTTCTAATGGATTCTTCCAGATTTTGGCTTTTCAAAGTGTTTTTATTTTGCCTTTATTTATAAAAAGATATTTTTTGTTGGGTGTTGAATTTAGGTTGACGTTTTTCTTTTGACATTTTAAGAATGTTACTCCATTGTCTTCTGTCTTATTTGATATCTGATCAAAAGACCACTGTTATTTTTATCTTTGTATTTTTGTATGTAACATTTCTTTTCCCTCTAGCTGCCTTCAAGATTTTCTCTTTTTGATTTCAGCAGTTTGAATATGATGGGCCTAAGGATGTGTGTGTGTATGTGTGTGTGTGTGTGTGTGTGTGTGTATTTATCCTGCCTGTGTTTCTCTGAGCTTCTTAGATCTGCTGTTGTCTTTCATTAATTATGAAATATTATCTGCTCATAATCTCTTTAAATAACTCTTATGTAGTGTTCTTTCTCTCTTTTCCTTCTAGAATTTCAAATATATGTATATTAGACTATTTGATATTCTACCACAGTTTTTTTTATTAATTATTTTTATTAACATATAATGTATTATTTGCCCCAGGGGTACAGGTCTGTGAATCATCAGGCTTACACACTTCACAGCACTCACCATATCACATACCCTCCCCAATGTCCATACCCAACCACCCTCTCCATACCCCCCTCCTCCCAGCAACCTTCAGTTTGTTTTATGAGATTAAGAGTCTCTTATGGTTTGTCTCTCTCCCGATCCCATCTTGTTTCATTTTTTTCTTCCCTATCCCCCAAACCCCCCTACTCTGCCTCTCAAATTCCTCATATCAGGGAGGTCATATGATAATTATCTTTCTCTGACTTATTTCGCTCAGCATAATACCCTTTAGTTCCATCCACATTGTTGCAAATGGCATGATTGCATTTCTTTTGATGGCTGCATAGTATTCCATTGTATATATATACCACATCTTCTTTATCCATTCATCTGTTGATAGACATCTAGGTTCTTTCCATAGTTTGGCTATTGTGGACATTGCTTCTATAAACATTCGGGTGCATGTGCCCCTTTGGATCACTACATTTGTATCTTTAGAGTAAATACTCAGTGATCTGATTGCTGGGTCATTCTACCACAGTTTTTTTAATGCTCTGCTCTGTTTTTTCCTTTATTGTGTGTATGTGTGTGTGTGTCTGTGTGTGTTTTGTTTGTAGAGTGGGGGTGGGGAGAGACAGAAGGAGAGCGAGAGGGAAAATTGTAAACAGGCTCTACACTCAGCATGGAGCCCACATGGGGCTTGATCTCATGACCCTGGGATCATGACCTTAACCTAAATCAAGAGTTGATGCTTAACTGACTGAGCCACCCAGGTGCCCCTCCTTTATTGTGTTTTAATTTGGATAATTTCTTTTGACTTATCTTCAAATTTGCTTATTCTTTTCTAAGCTATGTCTAATTTTAAGACTTTTTTATTTTCAAATTTATTTTGAAAATTTTATTTCAGGTATTTCAAATTTCAGATTTATTGAAGGTTACAACAACAAAGTCTAAACTCAACTCAAATCATGCTTTTTATTTCTAGCTTTTCCACTTGACCCTTTTTTATAGTTTTCATTGCTTTGCTGAGATTTTCCATCTTTTCATGCATTTTTCTTATCTTACTAGAGTAACTAACATATTAATCCTTGCTATTTTTAAGACACTAATAGGTCTAGCATCCAGATCACCTACGGGTCTTGTTCTGTTGATTATTTTATCCCTTGTTGGTGGTTTGCTTTGTCTTATTATTTTGTGTGTCTCATATTCAGATTGACTGCCAGACATTATGTGGAGAAGAATAGTGAGTCTGAGATAAATAGTATTTATGTTCTGAAATGAGCCAGGCTTTTCTTATTTCATGGTGCTAGTTTGGAGGCTTGAATTAGTATCGTCAGTAGATAAGCTGAGCTTTGTTGTCACTGTAGTTAACTTCAGTAAACCATAGACTTCAAATTCAGTGATGGATTATTTTTACCTTGTGCTTAATATGGGGCTTGGTGTACTGAGGGTTTTCTTTAGTTTATGGTTCACTTTCAACTTTTAGTAGGCCCTGCACATCTGCATCACCAATAGGGTCTCTTTTCACACTCTGGCCCTTTTCCCCCTCAGATATAGACCGCTGCTACTTGTTATTTGGTGTGAGGCTTGTGGAGGTGGTGGCAGGAAGGGTCTTCATTCTCTTTGTTCAATTTTAGTCTTAGCCCTGTGTCCTTGGGCCCTAGCTGTGGCCCTTTTCCAATATTCCCGTCCCTTTCCCCATAGCAACCAAACTCTGCCTTGTATCTGTGAGAGCTCTTGTGTGAGACATATTCCACTCCCACCCCCCCACTTTCAGTGGTAAGAGAACACTGCTTTGTATCAATGCAGGATCCTGGGCTAGAGAGGGTTTCTTAACCCTCCCACAGTAGCAGAGAGCTTTTAGTTCCTTTTCTCTTGAGAAGCGGGGATCTTTGCCAGGGTTCTGAGAGTGGGAGGGTTTCCTGCCTTTCTCCCAGCAGCTTTAGGGTTTGTTTCTCATGGAATAAGAATCAAGTAAATCGGTGAAGCTTTGTTCATAATAAGAACATGGGTACCAGTGAAGGGCCCTCACTCAAATTTCCTGTTCTGCCCCAAATCTTCCTCAACAGTACCTGGGAAGAGTTTGTGAAAAAGAACTGGTGAGTGGGTACAGATTCTGCATTATAGTATGGAATTCTATTTCATTAACCCACACTTGACCTTTAAGAATTTTTTAAAATTTTAGCCCCCTCTCCAACTTTATAGCAGCTGTCTCTTCCTTTCTTGCTCTGCCAGAAGGGAAATAGTTTGTGACTTCTATCTCTCCTTGGAGGGGTTTGTTACTCATTGGCATTTCATTCTCTTGGTTGCTTTGTATTCTTAGCTCTCTGATAGGCTCAAGGAAAGTCATAATCATATTGATTATTTGGCTTTTCCTCCTTGTTAGGGTGGGATCAATGTTTTCTTGTGGCTTTTTACATTCTAAGTGGAAGTGGAACTCCAAGAGAGTACAGGCAATATTTATAGGAAGGCATGCAGAATATACGAAAGTACAAGAGATAATATAGCACCTTGGGGATAGTAATTTCAGCTCTGTTAACACCCTGTTATAGGTTGAATTGTATCTCTCAAAAAATATGTTGCCATCCTAATCCTTGGTTCTCATGAATGTGATCTTATTTGAAAGGATGATCATGGCAGGTGTAAGTGACAAGATGATGTCACTAAGGTGGGCCTAATCCAATATGACTGGTGTTCTTATTAAAAAAAGAGAAGAGACAGAAAGAGACACAGTAGAACACCATGTGACAACAAAGGGGGAGAATGAAGTGGTAGATGTATATCTATAAGCCAAGGAATGCCAAGGATTGCCAGCCAACACCAGGAGCTAGAAAGAGACAAGGAAATATCCTCATAGACCCATCAGGGAGATCATGATCCAGTTAATCCCTTCATTTCAAACTTCCAGTCTCTAGGACTGTGAGACAAATTTTTATTTTTTTAATCCACTCAATTTATGGTAGTTTGTTATGGCAGCTCTAGGAAACTAATACACACCCTTAGGCCTGAAGGAGCAAGGGAGGGAGATGAAAAGAGCTGTGTAGAGTTGTAAACTCAGTGTTGCACCCACACAGAGTAGACCCCAGAGATAAATACCTTCACCTCTGTCTCTTCTATCCCTTCTTCCTACTGGGGCTCCCTTTGACTACACTCAACTGGAAGCCAGAGGGCAGAAGGAGCTAGTTTAGGTAGTCTATATAAGTCAGGCTTCTGGGGTAGAGAGCAGAGTGGGTAAGTCTGGATGGGAAATATGAGAGGCTAAAAAAGATAGCCAGTCTACTAGGGTTTAGTACAACAAAAAGTGTAACTTTATACATTTATTTTGGGTAGGTGGCATGGGGTCATTGGAAAGATCACAGAGTTATAGCGGGCGTGTGGTTTTATCTCAGCTCTGCTCTGACTCAGTGGCCTTGAATATTTCGCTTAACCTTTCTGATTCTCTATTTTCTCATCTGTAGGAGGGGATTAGAACTGATGACCTTTGTGGTCCCTTTCTGGCCTTGTGTTGTGTGTATGGGAATGAATATTCTTATATCAAACAAAAAGAGGTCTAAAATAAATTTTTGAGATTTTTGAACTTGAGGCTTTCATGATTTTGATCCAGGTTCAGTGACAAAAACTACCAATGCTATTGATGATAATTATACCTTTACCCGACTGGTCTATAAAATAAAGAAAATGCTTCTAGGGTGCCTGGGTGGCTTAGTTGGTTGAGTGTCCAACTCTTGATTTTGGATCAGGTCCTGATCTCAGGGTCATGAGATTGAGCCCTGTGTTGGGCTCTGTGCTTAGTGGGGAGCTTGCTTGAGACTTTCCCTCTTCTCTTCCCCACACTCCACTCATGCACAGGCTCTCTCTCTCTCTCTCAAATAAATAAAATCTTTTAAAAAATGTTTTCATGTTTACATTCTCTTTTTATTTTTATTTTTTTAAAGATTTTATTTATTTATTTGACAGGCAGAGATCACAAGTTGGCAGAGAGGCAGGCAGAGAAGGAGGAGGAAGCAGGCTCCCTGCTGAGTAGAGAGCTCCATCCCAGGACTCTGGGATCAGGACCCGAGCTGAAGGCAGAGGCTTTAACCCACTGAGCCACCCAGGCACCCCTGTATTCTCTTTTTAATGTAGCAAGCAGTTCTGTGAAGATTTTGTTGCCTAGGGGTTAAAATTCTTTGTATCTGTGTGTTTATAGTCTAAGTAGTTGATCTAAGAGAAAAGTTGGACTTCTTTATCAATCCATTTGCTTTTGTCAAGGAACTCACCACTTTATCACTTATTATTATTATTGTTATTTACAGTCTTTTCAGTTATTCTTTCAGCAGAGAGAGAGAGCACTTGACCTTCTGTATTCTCTCATCACTAAGGAGCCAAAGAGTTGCTTATTGATTTTCTTTTGGCTTTTGAAGTCAAAGGTGAGATGTGCTTTACACTTTGTTCTTCCACACGGGCCACAGAATTCTTGGTATGGTGATGTCCCTGGGGTCCCTGATATCATTGATCCAGCTGCTAGACTTGGCTTTGAGCAAGCACAAAGGCTAATGATTTAGTACTATTAGACATCACAGACAAACCAGATGGAATTAGTCTTCGGATTTCCCCGTGTCTGCAAGGTGAGATATTTTTTCCCCTTGTGTGAGGCCTGACTCAATTCACAGCTCATTCACAAAGGCTTCTTATCACACAAATCCACTCTTATCATTTTTCTTCTGCTATCAAAATATTCTTAGTTAATGGTTCATCACAGAAGATCTTCTGATTCAACTTATTGCTCAGGGAAAGAATCAGGAGAACTTCTAATATGCTGACATGGGGGAAGATTCCACTTGTTTAGGGACCAATAAAACAACCAAATTTATGATAGACCCATACTGGGGAGAATATATGACGATGTTCTTTTTTTTTTTGGATAGGTATAACAGGTCTGTAACACATGGATGTAAAGTGGATGACTGAGGAACCAGAAATAACTTTGTAGGAAGCAATAAGGCAGGAGATATTGACACAGAGCAGGGGCAGAGAGTTAGAGTAAGGATAGAAACAAAGAGGAAGAGGGAAGGCGGTATTGTTTTATATAAGTTCACTTTTCTTAACTTAGCCTGCTTCTTGGGAACTTGGTGATGGTCATCTGATGTGGAGTAGTGAATTGTCAACTGTGTGTATGTCAGTGGGAAGGAGGCACGGAGGCAGAGGGAAACACTAGATTCCGAGAAACCATCTTGTGGCAGTAGAGAGAGAGCCTGTCCATTGGGGAAGATTTTGTATTTGCCTCCACAAAGAGTATTTGGAATGTTAGGAGAAAGTCTGTGGCCATACCACCCCGAATGTGCCTGATCTCATCTGGAATATCACAAGAAGGGAGGAAGTCCTAAGTAAACTGGGGTCCATGCACCAACTCTATTTCCATGTATTGGTTTCTTTTGTAATCCTATGTAATTTTAAGAACACTATACTGCCAAAGAGGTAGAAAGAAAGGTTAAGAATCCCGGAATCAGGAAAATAAATTAATAAAGAAGTATGCAGTTGACTGATGTCAGTGCAGTTACTATATCCCACGCCAGCAGATGAACTGAGCCCAGACTCAGCAAACTGCACATAATTCAAGGTCATCATGTGGGCAAAGAGCTGGTAAAGGTAGAAGTGGCCCAGGCACACTCAAATGTAAGATACGCACAATATAAATTTTGTGTTACTTGATCTTGGTGGTAAGGTTTCTTCGTAAGGGTAATTGTTCTACTTAGTAAAGCTTCCATTCTCATACCAAAATAAACTCAAGAAGGATCAAATGTTGAAAAGAAAAAATAGGGATTGACACAAACACTAGAATACAGCTTTTATGAATATCAAGGCGAGTGGGTATGGCTGTTCTAAACATGATACGCAACATAGAAATGCAAGAAAAAGAAAAAGCAGATTTACCTACATAAAAATAGAGAATTCTACTTGAAAAAAAAAATACTGTAAGCAGAGTCAAAGACAGCCTGGAAAAGAAAAAACAGCAACACTTGTAACAAAAGGACTCATTTTCCATAATCCCCAGAGAGCTCCTAAAAACAGAGAAGACAAAGAACAAAAATTCAGAGAAAAATGAGCATCCACCATAAAGACAGAGATCGCATAGAAAGGGTGAAAAGAGACTCATGCTCGCTAGAAATGAACTACGACACAAATTGACAGATGTTCATTTTACCCCTCACTGGATTGGCAAGATTAAAACGTTTGATAATCTCCTCAGCTGGTGAAGATCTCCAGGCAAACAGATATCCTTGTACGCTGTTGTTTGTGGGAGAACATATTGGTACAAGTGTTTGAAGATGAATTTGGCAATATCTATAAAAACCTAGGATGCTCACTTCCTTTGACTCACCATCTCTACTTTTATTAATTTATTTCATAGATAAAGTGACAGAAACATGCAAAGTTACATGTACAGGATGTTCCTTGCTGCTTTCTAATAATCACAGCAACAAACACATAGACAGTAAGAAATAGCCTAATGTCCATCAAAAGGTGGCAGTGTGCATTCATTGTAGTATGTTAATACAATGGTTTGCAGCCATTAAAATGAAGTAGAGCTATGCGTATTAATTAATGTTAATGCAATGGTTTGCAGCTATCAAAATGAAGTAGAGATGAATGTATTAATATGAGAAACTGTCTAACATATATTAAATGAAAAAACAAGTTGCAGAATAGTATGTATAGAATGATCTTATTTGTGTTAAAACAAACAAACAAACAAACAAACAAACATTCAGAATATTCCCAGCACATGAAGCCTTTCGCAGCAGTTACCTTGGCGGTATACGCCAGTGAGCGGAGAGGCCTTGTGGCAGGAGGGTGGGAGTAGATTGGAAAAGTGCAGAATCTTCCCACCTACTCCCACTTTATAGCTCTCTCTGCTGTTTGATTTTTTCAAAATTTAAGTTTATAAAATATTTTGATCAACCCTCGTGTTTCCTAAGAAGGGATTACTTACCAAGAGAAGGACGAATGCTTGTCTCATAGATTAGATATTCCCCTTTGTGTGATGTTGAGAGGCTGGAGAGGGACCTATTAAGGGAAGGTTGGTGGCTTTGGGTAATAGGTCCCCCTCGCCACTTGCATTTTTGGAGAAGGATAGACTGGTGTTTAAGAGGGCAGTCTCGTGACATCACTGTGGCTTTGATAGACTCTCAAGTCTACGTTTATTTGCTTTGCCGCCTGGGAAAAAGTTACTTCGCCTTTCAGGGAGGAAAATAATAAAGCCTGAATGGGGCATGTAAAACACAAAGCAAAGCGAGTTGCACTCAATTGGGTTAACTCAGTGGAAAACTGAAGAATTTTTGTATGTTATAATCTTCAAGGTGTTCTTTACTAGCATTATCTGAGTCCCAGAACAGTCCAGTGAGGTAGGTAGAGAAGGTCTTCCTCCTTCTTGTTTTACAGGCCAGAACAGAATAGGGGAAGGGGACGTGTGTGAGTTACGGAGGTAACAAATGCAGCAAATCACAGAGTCCTGACTCCTATTTTGGACCCTTTCCTGTACATCTCAAGGCCTAGAGAGCATTACTGGGCAACATTAAATAAAGAGAATGAGAAATTTATTGTGGTTAGAAGCCAGCACACAGCCTTCCTCCGGTGTGGGTGGGATGGTCTCCTTGTAGAAGCCATTACCGATTTCCCCTCCGCGTTGTGCACTGTGGAAAGTCAGACCGATGAACGCCTTGAATGGGGAAACAGGTAAGTATCTTGCATCCTGTTTTAGTTTCCCATTCTGTAACTTCCTAAAAAGAAGGGCAATTTGATTCAGCTGTATCTGTGTTGAGTGAAAACTACCATGTCCCCTGCACCGATGTCCACTGGGACTCAGACATATTTCTTGGGCTTAGCGTTATCGACTAGTTTGGATGTAAGGGCAGTGCTCTATGCTGGTGTTTATGTCCCCTCTAAATTTCTCCATGGAAACCTAACCCCTAGTTTGATGGGATTAGAAGGCAGGGCTCTTAGAAGGTGGTTTGGTCTCAAGGATGGAACCATCAGAAATAGGATTACTGTCCTTATAAAAAAGAACCCAGGGAGTTACTTTGCCCGTCCACTGTGTAGGTTGTATTGAGAAGGTGGCCATCCGCGAACCAGGAAGCACCGTCTCACCTGATACCGAATCTTCTGGCAACTTGATCCTGTTCTTCCCAACTGTCAGAGCTGTGAGAAATGAATTTGTTTTGTTTTATAAGTCATTCATCCTATGGTATTTTTTGTTACAGCAGCCTCAACTCAAGCAGTGTAAGAGAACTTCAGAATTAGTTTTTTTGGAGATAGGACGGTAGCCAAAGGAGAGTGTACAGAATTGGGGAAAATGTCAGTGACTTTTAGGCAGTGGTGGAATTTGTGTTATCTAGGGGAAAAAGGAGTATGAACTTAGGGATGTATCATGCTTTAATAAGAGTCTTTGAGACAGATCTACCTGAATCTTCCCGAGCAGGGGTCGGGGAGGAAGAAAGAAAGAAAGAAAGCAAGCCTCTATTTTCAGAGTGAAGGGAAAGGAGAAAAGGCTGAATTAGCTTCTCATTCCATCTAAACATCCTTTAAGCAGCTTTGTCAAGCATCTGCAAGTTGACATAACGTTGATCCATTCAATCTGGTTCTAAATTGTTCTGTTAAATGCCAGACAACTTTTGTCACAGAAGCTGTCCCCCCTCCTTCAGAATGATTGTCTATAATTAAGGAGGAAACCAGAAAATAATGATAGGGTTCTCTTTTGCTTTTCTAATGGCTTTCTTATTAAGTATGTCTGAAAAAGCTACTGAGATGTTGATCTCCCACGTAACCAAAAGAAGTCAGCCATTATATAATTATTTCTTTTTAAAGACGACAAAGAGAAATGTATGAGAAGTGCTTTTAACGGGCTAAAGACACCATGAAGCACAAAGGAAAAAAAAAATCCTTTCCGGAAAAAAAAAAAAAAGAAGCAGGGAATAAATTAGTTACCAAAAAATGTCTTTGCCGGCAACCTTGAGGTACCAATGCCTGTCACCCGCAATGTGGTTGTCGGAGGTGTGCTTGTGGCCGGAGGGAGAGGTCGGAAAGGAGGGCACGTGGGGCTGTGGGTAGGATAATGGTATTCATG